GAGTGCCTTTAAAAGGCCCAGTCTCACTGCAGCAGTATCAACTGAAACTCGATTTTCTGTGCTGTAAGATGGGGGGGGGGCAGTTCGGAGACGGGGGAGTACAATTTTGCTACTTCCCATCGACGTGTCGACCCATCTAGACAGCCTCTTCTCGAGTTGACAGGTTTTACCATGATGGCTTGACGAGCTTCACAAGAGTTCCACATGTTTCACCAGAGTGGGACTTATAAATCTGAACTAAATTAAAGTAGAAGTGAAGCAGCGAGAGTACGAAATGCCCCCCCCACCTCCACCCCCCTCCCCGTCGCCGGACTGCTCTCATAAGATGTATACACGTACACTCAATATCCAGACGGAGGGGTCGTGGCCGCCTACCTCACTCAATCATGGCGGCGACTGCTTTAGGATATTGTGGTTTACCCATGTCTTTGTTCAGCAAAAGAAAACATCCCTCAGATGGAAACACCCTCGAAAAACGCCTCTTGTGTCATGTTTGAATTAAGTAGGCAGCCACGCCCTCTCCATCTTCGGGATATCGGCTGTATACGGTCACGGGGAAGCTAGGTTGCGCGGAAACAAAAATGAACCTAACTAAATTTTCAAATTAGACTGCAGCCAAAAAAGCTACAGCTACAATACAAGCCCAGACAAAAAGGAAACAAGACACAACGAATGACCACCTATTCCCTAGAAAATACGGTAATAGTGTGTGTTTGTAGAGGAGGAAAGAAACAAAAACCCACTCAAACATCTGTGGCGCTATAAAATAATCTCCAATAACGTCTTGCTTTTTCTCGCCACTGTCACTTTTAGTGAGAGCTGTTTCGATGAGTTGAGAGAAGCCAGCTGCATCGAGTGGATCCACAGAAAACGGTGCTGCTTCTGAGAACTTCGGCCGTGCTAAGCGCATCACTAAAATCTTACTATTAGGTTGTCCCAAAAGTTCGTGGAACTTTCCAACATTTTTTCGAGTTAAGTTTATTCCAGTGGGAAGCAATTTTGATCAACTGTATATATGTCACCTTCATTGGCAACTTGTGCTTCCAGA